GAATATATTGCTTGAAATTACTGTTTTAAATTAATACATCAAAAAATAAATTCACTACTAGAAACACAGAAACAGAGTTAAATACCGTCATAGTTTTAGGTTCAATGTTTTTAATATTGAAGGCATTCTTTAAGGTAAATTTTATGAAATTCAAATTAGAGTCAAATTAACAATTTATCACTGCATTACTTCAAAAGGTTTTCTTACCCCAAGTCCTAATAAAACTATAATAATAATATAATTAATATTTCTCTATTGGTAAATGAAGCAGTACATTTTTCTCATTGGTAAATAACAACAGTGTATACTTATCCAGAGGTTTCCCTCCATATCAGAGCAGAGTTTTGGCCTTTGGGGCACCAGAAAGTTAAAGAAAAGTGGATCTGGCCATTTTAGTAATGTTCCTAAGTCTTAACTCCCAACTGGTACATCTCTCAATGTGCAGTATGAGGATTCCCTTCCCCAGTACTCCATCCAACCTTCAGATCTCTTTCCTTCAGTTAGTTCACCAAAGAGTGTGAGGTCCTGCCACTTTGAAAGCCTTGCAATCCATCACCTTCATTCCCTGACTCACATTGCTGTGGAACTGGCTCTGTTTCCCCTGAGAGGAAAGAGCAGGAGCCAGGGCTGTCTGATCACCTCACGTAGATAAGGGCTCTAAGGAGAGAAGCAGGCTGGTTTGACCTGGATAAAATTAGGATGCCTACCATGAACCACAGCATGACGTCTCAGTGAAATATGCAATGTTGGGGTCATATTACCATAGCAGCTGCATCCCTCACTACGGGTTTGGAAAAGATCCCACAAGGGCAATTGTTTAGTTGTGAGGAATACAAGTTTATTGGCAGAGTAGGATGGGGATCTACTGTATCTGCTGTTCCCTTCCGAGGATATTGGAAGACTGAACTGGGACTGCTGTAGCTTTCTGACCCCTGAATCTGAAAATTGACAGGAAAGATCATTCTAAACACAAACAGCACTTTCAATCATATCCTAAATAAATCTCAGATATGGCACAGTGGAAAGAACAATGGACTCTGGAACCGAGACCCAACTCTCTAATCAAGTGACATAGCAAGTCGGTCATTTAAGCTTTAAGTCTCAGTGACCTCATCTCCACAATGAGGAGGCTGAATTTTGTCTCCCCTAATATTCCATATTAATCTAAACTTCTGTGGTTCTGTAAATCTCCTCTCTCTCTTCCTCTTACAAAAATTGCCATTACTACCTTTCAGATAATAGCCATGGTAAACAGGTGGTGGAAAGGTATC